TAACACTAATGTGCTTCCATCAATTTGTAGTTTTTCTGAGGCTACAATGAATTTTCAAAACACAGTTATTTGAATAACTGCCCTTACCTTTGGCTACCAGTACTAATAACATCTGCTCGTCTTCTTCAATGGCCACGAATACCTTTTTGGTTCGTGATACGTTCCAAATTTTGAACGCTAACATTTTTGTTTACTAAAATTTAGACCAAAAATTAGGAATAATAACAGTAGCTTATGTATTTTTTTTATTATTCACAACAATATAATAACAAACATGAAATATGCAGTTACACGTTATTTTAATTTATAAAGGTAAATTTTGAAGTTAAAATTTAATCATAAAAACATGTATTATAATAAAAATTATTTCATAATAACGTTGTACGCATAACGTTACTTTACACTGGATCTAAGTATGTATGTAAATTTTTTTAAACTTCTACAGAACTAGAGATAAGCCAATATAGCAAAGAAACAATGTCTTTACATCTGGATAGCAGGATTTGTTTTAAAACAAAAAAATTTAGACTTATCACCTGATGATGCTACAAACTGCAGCAAAGCTTCTTTAGGTGTTATTTTAGAATAATGAATACACGCGCAATCTGTATCATCATACCTTTTTTGTACAACAAATGCGCCATTATCAAAATTTTCTACAATTTCTAATTTTTTACCAACAAAGTAAATATTTGAATATGCTTGATCAACAAGCATATACATTATTTCACATAATGAAAAATGTCCATATTGAACATCACAACCATAGCAAATACACATTCCGTATTTGTATTCGATGCCTCTAAAAAATACTTTATTAGTTATAAAAGGGTGTTCAAATAAACAATTATCTCTAATAACAGATGACACATGTTCTGGATAATCTTTACAATTGTATGTAGTAACATTATCGGCTATTACTTTATCACTGAATGTGATTTTTTTTGAGGCAAGTACTGCTTCTCAGAAAACGAATGCAAAATATTTTTATAATTCGTACTATGACGTATAATATTTTTGAAAAATCTATGCTTAGATTCGAAACGAAGCGTCCACAAGTGACGCAATGGACCATACTGAATGATCAAATGGGGATAGTGAAGCATAAAGTGATGCTTTGGCCTTAAATTAATACTTGAAAATAGTTGTTGACGCAAGCTGATATACTCAAAAATTAATGATTTCAAGTATGCCACCTGGCTCACTGAAATTTCAAAAGACATTACAAGACTACATATCTGGCGTAAAATAAGTACAAGCCTCCATACTATCCCAACTATCAACTAAGTCATAAATAACTAATGGTAGAATAAACAAAAGCCGCATATTTTCACTCGCACTGCCTGGTAATTTGTCGCCTTTTTTAATTTTGGGTATTTTTTCGAATTTGAATTCATTAATAAATTTAAAGTCATGTAAATGGCAGTTGAGAGTTTCGTAAGTAAAAAATTTTTTTGAAACAAAATAATCAATTGCTAGCATAAGATCATATTGCACGACCCCTTCAAATAAGTCATGTCCTACACATGGTGGTAGACCAGGTTGACAAACATGAAAATGTTGCAATTCATTTAAGACTGAGTTAAATTTAATTCCTCTGGAAGTTTCATTCGTTAAATGAGTCAAATCAACATCTAAGTCATAGGAATATTTAGATCTAGTTGTGGAAATTTTTAACACGTTATTTTCAAATTCGGTTTTTGTAATGTGACAATAGCGACAAAAATATTCACTTGTAGAAAAATTACATGTAAAGCCTCCTATGTGATGGCTTCCAAGATTATCGCCAGTCATCGCAATTAAAGAACCTTTAACAGTTTCCTTTGTATCAGTGTTAATAACTATTCCTTCAGTTTCTAAAATTTTAATATCTTTAATTATAGCACTAAACATATTTGAAAATCCATATTTCATTATATCTGATTCCAAACCTAAAGCTACTAGCTGTATATGATCAACCTGACACCTCAAATAGGAAGAGATATTAGCTAATACCATATACACGGCAATTACCTTATGGATTTTTTTTGAAGAGCCCAAAGGGTTGCAAACCTCAAAAGCATCTTGATACAATATGAGACGTAATGCTTTTGAATTTTCAGTGAAAAAATAGTTACTTTGATAAACTTTTCCGTCCACTATATCGCTAATAATATTCAACTTTTTGTTTATTTCGTTTGTATCTTGTGACCAATGTTTATAAACAGCATCATTTGTCATTAAATATTTTATTGTGTCTAAAATTGGTATGTAATAGATTTTTGACCAACTGTCATTGTCCCTAAATTCTAAACATAGTGGCTCAATGTAATTAAAATGTCTTTTATAGAACTGTTTTCTAGAATAGGAAGTTCTAAGGGGGCCACTGCCTGTTTTATGAAATTTTTCAAATAAGTTATTATTTTGAAGAAAATTTTCCGGTAAAGATAAACCAATTTGAGAAAGGTTTGTAGCAAGGGATGCAGCTGAAATTTGACTAAGATCTAATAGAGACTCAATCATAGTTTGTAATCCAATATCTGTTAAAAAATGTTTCGTTTGTAGTGTCAAATACAAAGAAGCTAATGACATTAAGTAAGAATTACATTCATTATTTTCTTGCAGAATATTATTGTATGTAACCGTCTCACTACAGTCTCCCCGAAATGGGCTAGCTGATAAATTAACAGCAGGAACATTGAAGTCATGAAAACTATCATGATCGTTGTTTATCACAAGTTCATCATTTGATTTCAAAGAATGTTTACGATATATGTGAGATTTAAATTGAGGAATTTTTCTATACAACGTTTCTACACTATTACAACTCAAGAGGGGACATTTAACAACACATCCTGACCTAATATGTTCATACATGTGAGATGACAAGTCTTTCAAGGCAATACATTCAAACCTGCACATTTCTTCATTACATTTAAAACGTGGATGAGGCTGATTTGTAACGCGCGCCTGTTGACGCGAGTGTGCGCGGAAAATGTGTGACTTAAAATTGTTGTATTTAGCAAATTCATTAATACAGCCTTCATACACACATCTAAATCTGCAAACTCTTTCGTTACGATGCAAATATTGATGTCCGTTGTAACTTAATAATGCCGACGTCTTATAAGGGCACATCAAACACTCGTAATTCATCATTATTTAAATTCAACTTTCTTCGAATCAAACGAACTGCAAAAATCACCTGTACGTTTTAAACTGCATGTAAACTTGAAGAGGTTAAGTACTTACCGGTTATCGGTCAACTCCGTTGAAATTACGCAGCAAAACAAACCCACCGCTTCACCCTATTTAAATCACAAACTTGTAGGAACTATCTCACTAGAAATACTGTCAATCCACATAATAGAGCGGTAAATCAAAAGTTCGACAACAAAACAAAACTGCTCTGCTCACCACGTGTAGATTGGGAAAATGCGAGGGAAAATGAAACAGTGGGAGAGTGAGAGAATTGCATGCGATTGCACTATAAAGCGTGCGATTCGAACTGTTGCTAAACAATAATATATTGGGATTCTTATTTTTCGTTTTTTTGTTACATGTATTGTCAATGTTTAAATTTTACGCTACTGTTCATCTTCATCTATTTAATGCAAAAACAAATCCATTTAAAAAATTGATTATGTCTTAACTTCAACCAAAAAATATAAACTTATAATTAAAAAAATTAGCAAATCAAAGCTTACTTCTTTACCTAGTTATAATTTTGAAATTTCTATAGAAATTATTTCATATTTTACAAACAATTAAGCGTTCAGTTTTTTTACCATCACTTTAATTTTATGAGTCACAGAAAAGTAAGTGATAACTTTACTCATTAACAAACAATTATTATTTGAAAATTATACATACTCTATACACTCACAATTACAATCCTGATGTTTATAAAAAATTCTATGTTTTCAATAAATAGTTGTCATAGCACTTGAACTAAAACTTTAGGTACATTATTTTATTTGTAAAAATAATAGAAATGATCAAGGTAAAACCAAAATTCTGTTCATAAAAAATGTGTTTTCACCTAGATAAACGAGCAGTTTTACATGCATAACTTGTAAAATTAGTATTATGTGTAAATGTACTTTTAATATTGTAATTATACTCTTGTGGCTAATGTATTTTTACAGTTTAGAGAGAAATGTACATGAATATGTAATTTTACTGTTATCATTGAGTTAATTTACACTGTACTGTAAGATCACATAAACTAAATATGTAAAATTACTTTGTAAATAATGTATTCTTACATGCATTTTTTACAGTGGTAGCTACAGAAGATTTCTTCTGCTGATTTTCATGAGTATTGAAATATATAAAGTAAATAGGTTGACAGACAGTCAGACGGAAACGAGACATCATGTTTTTGTACTCTTGAGATCATCAAACGTCGAGAAAATATGAAAGTCGCCATTCGCCCCATAAACCCTATTACAACACATCCTTCGTTTACGCTCGCGAAGTAAAAATCGCGTGTTGAAGCTGCGAAAGAATTTGAATTTGTTACGTTTGAGGAATATATACTTACACACAAATAAAAACCTAAATCTGAACAGTGATACACAAAATTATTTTCATACAAACGCTACCTATATAGTTTCTGGCGCATGTCGCATGGTCGCGTACTATTTTTAAAATGGCTCATTAATAAGTCTTCCCGATTGCTAGCGTACATCGCCTTACGAGATGACTCATTCTTTATTCATTCGCGTATCGTGTATTTAAACATTTTTAGATCTTTCAAATGTTCTTTGATATCATACGATCATTACTTTAATGTTGACTCATAATCTCAAAATTAAATTAAAATACGTACATACTGGATCAGATTTCCAGATTTCCATGACAGTTATTTTGTCTGGTGAATTTATTTTTATTGCAAGTTTATAAAAGACTAAAACGAAATTAAAAGTAATTCACAATTTAAACATACTGTGTAATAATTTGTGGAAAAAAAGTTGCTAAACAATTATTATAACTAATATATGTGTTCTATGTTTCAGATAATGTCTGGTAGGACAGTTCTCAGTAGACCACGCACTCGTATCTATGATGCAAATTACAATATTGGACAAAATTACTACAGACCAGCTTTAGATCGTTTAGACAAAAAATATTCTCCAAGGCCTCCGTCTCCTTTAAGATCCTCTATTGCCCGGGACATTCTCAGCCGCCATGAAGAAGCTTTTGCTGATGAAGATTTAGCAACATCTCGGAGGCGTGCAGAAAAACACATCGCAGAGAACAATCTGTTTGATTCTCGAGGAGGACGAATTGCTCAGCGTGCTTTAGATTTAATTCAAAACGATATAAACGAAGAGGTGCGCTTGTGGTTTTAAGGTTTTAATTCTGACTATTATTGTTGTTGTTGTCTGTGTTTAACAATTTCAATAAAATATTAAAGGACATAAATAATTAAGTATTATGTATACTGCCGTTTGCAATATACACATACATGGTGTAGTAGGTAAGTGATTTTTGTTTCGGCTGTTTATTACCCACTCTTTGCTAACACAGATATTTTATACTTGAAAAGTTTCAAAGGACGTACTTGCCCAGTCAGTACTAACACCAATTAAAGGTACAATTCTTTGTGTAACTTCCACTTTTACTTATTGATATTATTGGTATGATAACGCATTAGTGGGTAATTGTACACAAGATGTAGAGACAACGTCACTACTTTTTGTAATTAGGTATAAGTACTACAAAAATGTTGTGCCTACGTTTGCTACGTTTGTATGTGTGATTAACCAATTTGCCTTAGCAAAGCTTAAAATTATTTGTTATTGTAGACTGCTACAGCTTTGAAAAGGATCAGAGCCAATAAAACTGTGTCTGTTGCCGAAAACACAGACTTTGAGAGTACTGTCAACAATATAAATTCACAACGTCTCCTGCAAAGATCTGAAAAAGCACTTAGAAGTGTTGGTCTTGACGAAAATTCTCGTAAAGCATTGGATGAAGACATTAGTATCAAAAGGCGTACTTTAAAAGTAAGTTATGAAGGTGATAGCGGGGATCTTGTGAAATGGAGACCTTTGCAAGCCACAGAGGAAAGAGAAAGTGCTGCTGCTATTAGAGCAAAACAATCAAGAGATAGACTTCTTGATTTAGAAGATGAAATGGCTGCTTTGAGTGAAAAACAAGCTGCTAGAGAGCGTAGAGCCGCAAGATTCAAAGCACTTGTTGCTGAAAGCACAGAACAAACGGAAGCAGCGCAGTCCGCTATTAAAGCAGTTAGTCTGGTATCTCGTCGTGAACAAAGAACTTTAGAAGAATAGTAAAATGTTTAAAACAGAAAATACAAACTTCTATTGTCGCCATTTATTGTTACTTTTATTTCACTTTTATTATGTAATTTTTAGCATTTGTTACTGTTATTCTGCTTAAACTGATTATACTAAATGTATTACTGTATCTAATGAAATAAATTAGAGTAAAAATATAACTTCATTTCTGTTACTGCTATTGGACAATCATTAAAAATTGACATTAAATTATTATGATTATGATTGTCAAAACAAGAAAGTAGATATTAATAAAAATTAGGTTGACCCTGCACCTTGTATTGAAACCATAAAATGAATTACCTATTTGTTTTGTCTTCCTAAATCTTCTCTTGGGTAAGTGTGACATAGTAACTTACATTCATAACTATAGTCTCTGCCGTATCTATTGAAACACCACTTGTTAATCGTAAATTTGGCAACCTTCATACTTCATATTCAGACAATTTTCTAAATACAAGCCGTTGTCAATCAACCGAAAGCTGTTACCAATTGCTAAATTTTAAGCAAAATCAAGAGGTGGTGTTTCAATAGAAATGGCAATACCTTTAAACAAAACACTCTTTTTGAGTCACTAGATAATGCCAAGTTTAAATTATTACTTCACGTATAAAAATTAAATCTTATTATTTAAAAAAAAGTCTAGGTATGTACAGAGAGGTCGAAAAAGAAATTAGTCAAAGTTGGCCATGCACGAAAAGCCGTTTGTCTTAGCTTAGAATATTTTTTTATTAAACGTGGCTTTGACAAAAGTAATCTGCAATGTTATCAAATGAAATTAAAGCGTTTTTGTTAGAATCTTACTTCAGAAATGGGACAAAATTGGAAAACGGTGATTTTGATTCATTTTTATGTGTTTTAAAAGTAGGTGTCATAATTCTATTTTTAAACTGTCAATTTGACATTAAATAAAATAATTTAAACTACGACAAACGCCGTGTCGTGCATGAGCAACTTCGACTAATTTCTTTTTCGATCTCTCGGTATTTATTCTATACAATTTGACCGTTTGCACACGTATGCATAATTTATTATAATAAAAACTGATGATAACTGCATCAAAAACTCTTTTTGTAATATACGGAAAAATATTCACTTAAATTGGAAACGTTTGTGTCCTAATGTAGGATTTTAATCTCTTTTTGTTTTCATTCATAAAGGTTGTTAAAAAGTATAATGTTACCGATATAGCCAAGGCGATTCTAAAGACAAATGCCAGAATTGATTATTATTGTTTAAAATATTTTTTGGAATTTCTTTAATCGTTTTAAAGCTCGAAGACTTTATTTTTATTCAATCATGCAACATTTAGCGAATTAATGCGGAACTGTGAATCATAACAGTCACCTCAGAACATTTTTTTGACTGACGGCAAACTTACAGTTATTATTTTTCTCCCAACCGGGAATAAAATGGTACTTTATTCCCCCATTTTTTGGTAATAAAGTGGTACTTTATTCCCTAGGGCATACAGTAAGAACAATTTAAGTGAAATATCAAATTTTATTCTTTTATTTATTAATATTAATATTTACAATAATAGTAATCAAGAATTCATTATTTCTATTGCCAACGACTGAAATCTTGCTGGTCTTGCTAGTTGAAGTTTTGTGTCTGCTAGTTGAAGCTTCATTGTCATTAATTTTATTATTGGTCAAATTCTGTTTTGCAATTAGCGTTTTACTTTGAGCTGAAATTCTATGTAGCCTTCTGCAACATTTCTAGATTTCCAACCACCTAGACCCTTTACAGTCGTTAAATCAGCACCACTGTCTGCCAACAGAGTGGCTGATGTTCTTCTCATACAGTGCCTAATATATAATTTAGCATCAGGAAGCTTCAAATAGCTTGCAATAATCGATGGTATTTTGCTTAAAGTATTTTTTCCTACTGGTTGAGTTGAACATCTTCCGGTTTTATGAAAAATAAAAAAGCGTCTATAGCTGGTGTGTGGTGGTCTAAGAGATGCATACTTGCTTGCTTGCTTGCTTGATGATTTGTCCTTAGGATTTACAATATGAAAAGACTGATTAATCCTGGTTTTTGTATCTTTGACGTTAACAATAATTATAACTGTTCCTTCATCTCGAATATGATCTACTGATAAATTTAAGAGTTCTTTACACCTCATCGCTCCAGCAGCTCTATAGCCTTCCGCATTTCTTTTCAGATAACTTGTCAACTTTGAAAAGTTACTGAAGTCCCTATTATTATTATTATGAATAAGTAAATTTGATTCAATTTTCGAATAGTACGATCAGAGAGATGAAGCTTTATAGGATTCAGAAATTTCAGAAAAATGAACCAGCAATACATCTTCAGAAGAAACATTCTTAAAATCTTTCAAATCACATGACTTCAAGAATTGTTGGTAAGTCTTTTTATACACATTTTTCGATTTCTCCGGAAGCAAATTGGACGTTACATCTTTAGCTCTTGCAGTAATGCACAAAGGTATTTCAAACTCTTCTCCAATGTTCACTTTTTCCACTTTTTGAAACACAACAAACTCGTTTCCTTGATAACTGTCCGCTCACTTTATTTAAATGTATCCATAACGCGCAATCATTTTCGTTTGCAATTTATTGTTAATTTAACAGGTTGGGAGGAAAGTTTTGTATGTATTTCTGGAACAAACTTTGTTAATCTCTCGGCTGAAGATGCCATCATCACTTACAGTCTCAGAATTAATACGGCAGTTTATTCACTTGATGCATAAATAACTAATAAATGACACATTAAAAGACGAAAATGGATCTCAGACATGAAAATGTTAAATAGGTCACTGATTATAATTTTAAAATCTTTTTAGTGGTGGGTTTATTGGGAACTGATTTTTCTTCACATAATCTGCTTTTTTTTGTCGGATTTTGTCGTTATGTTCGTTATAGGCCAAAATGGGACTTTGTATTAAATGTGCCTTTAAAATTGTTACCATTTGTTGGCATACATGGTCTTCAACCAAATGTTGTAACATTTCTGTCGCAATTAATATCTGCTAACTGTTTTAAAAGACTTACGAACTAATTTGGATAAGTTAGTCTACCACGTTCTTGAAGGCAAATTAAACGTAACAGAGGACTGATGCAGATAATGGAAGAACGCAAGTGTCACACTAAAATTTTTCATTATTTTTACCACTTTGGTATTATTTTTGTTCCCTAAATTTAGCAGAGCTAACATAATCAACATTTTCTACTGCATTAGATGATTTTGAGGATTTTACGATATCATCACAGCGTACAATTTGTTGCAAAGCATATGCTGGACCTGTAGCAACGTTGGATCCTTCTATGAGCTTGACGTGAGAAAACATTCGTTCTACAGAGTCTGAACTCAAACATCTAAGGAAAGTCAACAAATAATAAAAGCCTGCTTTCTGGAGAAGAAATTGAACACAAAGATGTGCTTCTCGTTGTATACAATAATGCATGGACAGTCTCTTTTGTTAAACCTCGCAAGCCAATTGAAAACGATGAATTTTGGATATATTTACATACATATAATTAAGGAGACTAACATTCAGCCAGTGTAGTTCGTCAGAAATATCCACATATGGAGCAATAATACTATCTAGTGAGAAGGTCCTGTGGCGTGAACCCCACCATTTCTTTTTATGCTGTCATCTAAAGAATCCTGGTGTACCCTACAGTATCCACTACCAAGATGAGTTAATTGATACAATTTACGCTGCCGTGGCCCCAGAGTTCCAACGTGTACACGGCAAGATTACTGTAAAAGTAAACGTTTGCCGTGAAGCATCAAATGGGCAAAATTTTGAATTTATTATAAAATAAGGTATTACTGTTGGTGTTATGTTGTAATGTATTTTTTTTTATATTTTCTTTGTTTCATTTTCATATTCTTTTGTTTAAAGAATAAAATTGTTTACGAATGTTTTGTGCATTAATAGTGCAAAAAAATGCTGTCGTTTTTAACAATGTAAATTTAATTTTTCGAAAACTTTCATCAAATGTTGACATTTTCGTTACATTTTTAGTGGGCAAAGTGATTCTTTTTTGTCACATCACCGCAAAACACTTTTTCGTTCTAGAACGTAGAAGAAATGTCAAAAACTTTGTAACTTTTTGAGAACTTATTGGTAATTCTATTTACTTTATTAAAGCAATTAACAATTCAATTATTATTACAATGATTAATACAATGTATCATTTATTTTTCTATATGTAAATTGAAAGTCCAGATGTTGCAGTTGGTTAAATTGATGCCAGATCCAGTCCCTTTAGTTATCGTTGCTTCTATTTCTGCATGTACAATGAGGCTGCTGCTTTAATTAGGTATTCAAGTTTACTCCGCAGAATGTATTATTGGTAACTTCCGTGAGCTCTGCTGAAGATTGTAACATTTTATTTGCTATCGAAATTTTATTTTGTATGGAATCTTCTATACCGCGTGTCTGGAAAATGGCAGATTAACTCTCCGCTACGCTCTTTACAATCAACTGGTGAGTCTGGGAAAAATAGTAAAAAAAATCGGGCCTGTCTAATTTGCAGACCACAGTTTATCTTGCAGACTGGGGGTTAAAAATGCTGCAATCAAGTCGAAATTCGACATTTACTTATTTCCCAATACGAAGATTGTTGGTACAAAATTTCAACCCGTTCGTAGAAACACTTAAAAACCACCCCCAAAACAACCTTGCAGACTTTGGCTTAAAAATACTCCAATCAAGTCAAAATTTTATATTCGCTAGTTTATCAATATGGGGATTATCGATACGAAATCTCAGCCTATTTGAAGAAACCCTCAAAAATTACCCCCAAAATAACCTTGCAGACTGGGGATTAAAAATGCTCCAATCAAGTCAAAACTCGACATGTGCTTATTTCTCAATACGAAGATTGTTGGCACAAAATTTCAAGCCGTTCGAAAAAACCCTTAAAAATCAACCCCAAAACAACCTTGCAGACTGGGGGTTAAAAATGCTCCAATCAAGTCAAAACTCGAGATTTGCTTATTTGTCAATACGAAGATTGTTGATACAAAATTTCAACCCGTTCGGAAAAATCGTTAAAAACTACCCCCACAACAAGCTTGCAGACTGGGGCTTAAAAATACTCTAATCAAGTCAAAATTTGACAATCGCTAGTTTTTCAATGCGAGAATTATCGGTACAAAAATTTCAGCCTATTCGAAGAAA